TAGAGTAAGTTGGAGGTGGATCATCCTGCCCCTCCAGGAAGTAGGTTACACCAGGTCCTTCAAGCCACAGCCCCGGGGGAAGAATGGGAATTCATACCAGGTCCTTCTTGGTTTCAGAAGGGATCATGTCTGTTTCTTCTTAGCCTCAGCCCTGGGGAGATGTGGGACAGGAGTGTCATACTCAGTCCTCCAGGCCCTTGGCAGGGTTCAGAAAGATGAGGCACCAATAGTTGCAGGTGGCACTGGAGTCGGGGCGGGTGGTGCTAGATGTGGTGCCTTGATGTGTCCCAGATCTGGAGGCACCCAGTACTCAGCTGTGTTGGGAGAGAAGGCACAGGGAACCAGCGCATCATCCCCACCACATGCTGCTGGTACTCTCAACCCAGCCCTCTACTCCCTGTAGCAGTGGTGCAGCAGCCAGTCACGTGTTCAGACCCTACGCTGACCTGGGAAAGGCTCCTCCCTCAAGGGATTTCACCAACACAACCAAGCCCTGCAAACATCCTCCTGCCAGGCCAATAAAATGGTACACACTGTGTCCAATGTGCATATGGACAGGCTGTGGGCGCTTCTGCACAGAGACCGGCGGCAGAAAAGAACCCCTCAGCCACAGTGCTGTGTTGGTCAGACCCATGTACCTAATCCTCCCAGTTTTTAATGTAACTGCAAAATTTGAAGATTTAAGACTCATTTAGTAATTTCATAATTACCTTTTTAAAACTGGAGGATTATGGAAAATTAGGGAGGGTTGGAATCTCGGCAATATACATTTTTACAATGCCACTTTTCAAAGTAGAACTATGCTTTAAGTTTATCAGAGGAGCCTTAACTCAGATATCCCTGACATCAGAAGGTTTAAATCTTAAGCAATGTTGAATTAATATAGAGGTATCTCTTTTCCACAGCTATTCCTCAGTATATTTATATACTATCTATACTGCTACTCTATTTGTATTCCTGGGAATCACTGAAGTCCAATAATGAAAAACCTCTCTTTCTTTTCCATTCACCTGCAGTACTACCTCATCACAAATATAAAATGCAAATGATATTCCCACCTTCTATATTAAACATTTCTCTGAAGAGTTGCTTATAAAACACTCTGAAGATGAAAAGGGCTATATAATTATTTCAGTATTAGGGACAGACTCAATGTTTGTTCAACTCAAAGTAGAGATCATCTACAGATCGTTGCTCATAGGTATTCTAAAGTCAACATTCTCTTCATTAATAACTTAAAATGAAGTTAAAATTTCCTATAAAAGAACATCTTATTAATATTTTAAAATTTTGTAACATACACAAATGTGATTGCAGGAATGAAATTTGGCAACGAATCTGTCCTTAATGAGAACCAAACAGTCAAAAATGTTTTGCATTCCTATAAATCAAAAGCAGATTAACCAATTTTGGGGGAGAAAGGGGGGGGTAAAACGGGGACGATTTTCTACCAGGTTAAGACCAAACATGCCAGTTTTCAGGCATTTTTATTCCAAAACTATGAGTGAATGAAAATATGGATTTTAATGACACATTATCACTGTCTTTATTGTAGCAACATTAATATTAACGACAGTCACTTATTCTAACACATGAACTGAAAAGGTTTTATTGTGAAAAACAGGTGTGGGAATACCCTCTTCAGTAAAATGTAAACTGTTTAATCTGAGATTTTACTCGATTTATTACAGCTGTTCTACTGTTTATAAAATGTAACAAGTTCTTTACAGTCTGGGATTCTTTTACACATTTTTTAAATCAGGTTGGTACAAAACAGGTTGTACTGATCAACAGAAATTTGTTTGATATCTACACAACTACAAGTTTTCTAAGATTAAAGGCATTGGTTTTGGACTAGTATCATACAACAAATTTATCTAAGGGGGATTTTGATGTATGTGTAATCATTTTCAAGAGACTGGGACTACAAAACAAATTTAATGGATCATTCAGTATAAGAAAAACTATTGCTAGAGCTACAAATCAGACATGCCATCTTCTAAGATGAATACTCAGCCATAAACATAACAGCTCTACAATTGTACGGAAATACTAAAAACACACTCAGGGAAAAGGAAAGATATTAAAGAATAAGAGAAAACAGAGACAACATGAGAATGATGAAAAAGAACAGAAGGAACAGAGATGAAACACAAAGAAAAATAGTGTGTAACAATCAGTGCACATGTACATTCAGACATAAAACATATGTGCAACATGGGGAATAGAAATCTTGATTTTCTTTTCCAAAATCATAAGACTTTGTCACTAGGAAAATCTCCATTGGGGGTAGACAGTATTAGGGTTTATATCCACTTTACAAATGAACCACTAGAGGGCAAGAATTTAACAGATCTATTTCTATCCAAAAGATGGCAATGGTGAACAAATATCAGCCCATACATTACGTAAACATGGATGGGGAGAGATGAGACAGCAAGAAAGGAGAAAAAAAAATAACCAAAAAGATAAGATGAAAGACAGGAGCAGAGAAGAGAGCGTGTCTATCCCAAAATTTACAAGACAATGATTTTCATAGGCCTGTCACTAATTTTAAAGTGTCCCAAATTTATCTGAAATAGGACCTGTCACCATAATGTTTTGGCACAAACAGTGTCATCCCACAAAGATCGGAATGTGACAACACCAACATAAGAAAAGCAAAATGTGGGTTAAAACATACATAAAAAATGGATCCCCTATAAAACAGTGTCTTAACAGTCACAGGTAGGAAAGCTTTACCTTCAAAAAAATAATTCAGGCATTTTTGAAGTGGCTGGAATGATAGAGAAGGTCTGAATCATCATCAGTAAAGAAGAGAGGGAATGGCATTATATTTGCTTGCTACCTATTTTTCAAGTTTTCTGGAAGGTGGATTTTTGAAATCCCACCTACAATTGTGAATAAAAACCTCAGACAAACTTGGCTGCTTCTCCTGAAACTTCTTTTGCCTCCATTTGTATCCTTCCATTAGCTCCCACTTCTCTATGTTTGATGCAATAAACTGCTTGTATTCACTTTCAATGCCCTTCACAGTCAATCCCCACCCTACCGATCAGCTCTCATTTGCTATCGAGCTGCCAGCACTCGCCTCCCCTCGGCTCACGATGCTAGCCCACTTGTTTAGTTTTATTTGTGCTTTCTCCCATGCTATCCCTGATGCTTGGGAGGCCTTCCACATAAACATCTGTAAAGCTACCTTGTAATCCACTTTCAAATCCCTCCTCAAAACTCTCCGTTGTCATGATGCCTGCAATATATTTGATAACAGTTAGGCTGCTGGTTTATGATGACCACTACCTATTATGCTGACAAATACTATATCATTTTTTCTTTATACTCCTCTGTCTGTCTTTTGTCTTATACTTCAGATTGTAAACTCCTTGGGGCAGGCACCATTTGTGGTTGTTCTGGTTGTACAGTGCCTAATACAGTGGTATACCCTGGTCCATGACTAGGGTTCCTAGGCAAAACAGTAATATAAATAATTTCAATTTTAAAAAAAGATTAGATACCCTGTGGCAAAAGATGCATATTGACAGTTTCTGCCCTAGAGCACAGATATCTCAAAACGTCAGCTTACACAGTGCAAAAGTTAGGTTCAGATTGTGCTAGACCAGGCATAACAATGTTGCAAGTTATTTTTTCTCCTCTCAGTAAATCTTTTGGATGGGTATTTGTATGCTAAAATTGTATGCTGTTGGCATGAGGCCTAAAGCCATTTGCTATAAACTGTAAAGTGACTTTATGATTCCCACTTGACACCCTAACCTGAAGCTGGATGGTTAAGGCCATTGGTAACAGATACAGAGACTTTCAACATTGTATTGTGAATTCAAATCCAGTCTTTGTTAGTAACTGACCGAAACAGACCAGTTGTTTTCTGATGGTTGTGACCTATGTGAAATGAATATTTCCATACATTGTCTCCATGCAGTTCCTAGTATATACATGTCAGAATAACAAGTCACCCCCATGTTTGACAGTAATTGACAATCTTGTTGGCTTTCTCAAAAAAGCTCAAAAATAATCAGGGCAAGCTGACTTAATTATCTTCTCTCAGCTGCAGAACAAGGACATAACACAACAGCAGTGTAGCAAGGAGAAGCTAGCAATGCTGTATGGCAAGCAATGTACATTAATGAATATGAATTTATGGTGAAGTACGATGACACGAGTCAGTGTAAACTCTTTCCATACAACTTATACAAAACGTTACAAATACAGAACCAAATACAGCCCTGATTGCTATACTGTCTAGAATAGTAATAGGAATGAATTTGGTCTATAATGTCTTCCCTACCTTACAGGCAAAGTGTGAGGTTTAATTCACTGACGTTTATAAAGAGCTTTACTATGGTCAAGTGGAAGACGCCCAAGAAACGCAAATTTTTATTAGAAACTGAGTAAATCCTGACAAAGTTAACCCCCCCGCCCCACGTTTTCCAAGAGCTGCAAGGGGTTTAGAGATGTGATTCGTGTTGACTGTTAGGGCGTCAGCAAGCCGCTGTGTAACAATTTAAACGGGCATCATCGGCTTGTTAACCGAGTGAGTTTCAAGCTAGGCAGAAGCAGCCCCAGGTGCCAGGCTTGCCGCACTCGGCGCGAGGTCTCGGAGACCCTGCCCCGCTCGGGGCTGCCACACCCCCAGGGGAAACCGGGCGGCACCAAACGCTTCTCACCCGCGCAAAGGGACCAAGCCGGGAGCAGCTGAAGAACATCCTCGGGCCTGGGCGCTGCCCGGAGCGAGGTGCGGGTACGAGCGCAGGGTCCCGTCCCCAGCGCGGCGCTCGCGGCAGGCCTGGGGGGGCAGCAGCAGGGTCCCGCAGCGTCCCGGACCGGAGCCACCGCGGAAGGGACGCGCACGGAGCGCAAGACACGGGCTCCGCACCGCCCACCTGGCGGACGCAGAGCAGCCTCTGACCTCACCGCCCGGCGACTGGGGGACACGCTCCCCCTCGACCCCGATAATGGGAAATGACCCCGCCCCCTCCTCTTACCCCGTGGCCGCTGGTCTCGCGCCGCGCCGCCGGTTTGGAAATTTCGCGCGTCCGGGGACGCCTGCGCTGAGGTGACGCCACGACGCCTTTCCCCCGCCCCAGTGAGCTGCTCCTAACGCGCGTGCGCGCGAGCCGCAGGGGGCGGGGCGGGGCGGGGCGAGGGGGTGGGGCTGCGCTGGGATCTGACCCCCTGTAAGGGCAGGGCAGCCGTGGGGGCGGCGTGGAAGAGGGACGGAGATGGGCGGCACGTGGGGCCTGGAGGGGAGTAGGGAGCATGGGGAGTGTAGGCGGGAAGGAGCCGGGCAGGACTAGCTGCCTGGGAAGGAACGTGCCATATTTAGGCAAAACATCACCATTATTTTAGAATTACCCCCCGACTGACCCCACCCCCCCATGAGCTCCACACAATACTTGATCGGAGTTAGGGTGACCAGATGTCCCGATTTTATAGGGACAGTCCCGATTTTTGGGTCTTTTTCTTATATGGGCTCCTATTACCCTCAGCCCCGGTCCCGATTTTTCACACTTGCTGTCTGGTCACCCTAATCGGAGTTTGTCAGCTCTCTGGTCTGTTTGCATCCTCCTAGCCCGCTTCAGGTCAGTACGTTTCGGGTCATAGCTGTGACACTAGTTTACCATCTCTTTAACAGTTGTGCTTAACTTGGATGCTCCTAGGAATGAGGTATTCCAGAAACAAGTACTGCAACTTCAACCTGAACCGGGTGGGTTTACAACAGGTCACACTCAATCACTTAAGCAGTCAAAGCTGTGGTTATGTTATTTATACATTTAAAAAAACATTGTGCTGCAGTGTACATGCACACACTTATGAAAGTGTTGCCCTAAAGAGCCAGATCATACTCAGTGAAATAGTTCCCCTCATTTTTACAGAATTACACAGATGAGTAAAGCAAGATTTGACTCTAAATATAAAACTGAGGAAATAGGCTAGTTCATATGACTGTCAGTGGGATAAGGAAACTCATCTTTAATTGGCCTAGACTGTTAGTAAAGATTGTCATTGATGTGCTGATGGTTATTCAGTAGCCTGTGTAAGATAATATCTAGGTCTTCTATAGCACTTTTCATCAGTAGATCTCAAAGAGATTCACAATCTTTAATCCATTTTTCCTCACAATACTGCTGTGAGGTAGAGAAATGTTATCCCCATTTTACAGATCAGGAACTGAGGCACAAAGCAGCTAAGTAACTTACCTAAGGTCACATAGGAAACCTGTAGCAGAGCAGACTTCGAGGTTAGTGCCTTAACCACTGGACAATTCTTGGTAGTTTTAGTCCACTTCCTAGGAAACAGGTGCCCCTATCATACCACCAGCAGTTTTTCTAGTTTCTGATTACTACATGAAGGAAATCCTCAGCTTAATTTTTCCTCCTCCTTTCTTGTCTTTTCAATGCGGGTTGGGTCATTCTAACTTTAAATGCCAATAGACCTTTTTCCTTCCCACTTAAGCCACCTAGAAATGCAAATATTACAGGTTCTTATTTTAATTTTCTGAGTTTCTATTTGTGTAAAATAAGAGGTACATTTTTCCTCTGGAGACTGAAATGTATTGGTACATCAATGAGAGAATATGCACTAGGACTGTCTGCTGCCCCTGCTAATTTTGTACATGTATCAGGTCAAACTTGCTGTTGAATATATTAATTATGAAAGGACCAGATTCTGCCACTTTTATTGTTACTCTGAGTGTTATTTTGATCCTCAAGTAATCCCACTGAAATCTCTGACTCTGTACACAAGTTTAGTACTTAGGAGTTCAGCCCCATTCATCCTTTTCTATGCCATTCATATACTCAGACTTTTTTTCACTGTTTTATTCACACTCCTAATTTCAATCTAGTTATCCTCATTCACTATTTCCCCTTAATTCTTCCTCTTTTTCCTCTCATTCAGTCTCCCTTATAATCACTCAATTCATGCTCAAGCTCTTCTTCATCCCATCCTTCTCCCCACTGCCTTCCTCTTAACTCATTTCCCTTTATCTCTTATTCACATCCTACTCTGTCCCACGCATCTGCTCTAAACCACTTCGCACATTCACCCACTTACACACACCTGCTCAGACTCATCTGCTATCCACTTACATCCTTGTTCCTAGCCCAACCCCAGTCAAGAATTTTTGGGCAACTTTGCACCTGTATTTCCCCCATCTCCCATTGTGAAAAAATCAGAACTGACTATATCACTCTCTCCCTCCTTCCTCCTTAACAGAGCAGTGACATTAAATATGTCTGATCCAAAAGTCCCTTGAAGTCGGTGGAAAAATTCCAAATGACTTCAATGGGCATTGTCATAGGCCCTGAATTTTTTAACACTTATTTGTGTCAGGTGTTTAAGATGGTTTACATTACAGTCTGTAATTGTAAGAATACCTCTTGCAGTTAATAGTAAAAATATTACTTACCTCTTTCTCCCCTCAGTTTAACTATTGCTTATACTAATATCTCCACCTGTTAATGTTTCTTACACTGTTTTTATATTTTTTATCAAATCACTATTGCCAGATGAATTTAAAAGTGTTGGATTTTTAAATTTTCAGGTGCTTTTCTGGGTAGTGGCAAATTGCTTTTCAAACAAGATTACATTCTTAACTCACTAATACAAACTGTCTGGGATGTTTCCACACATCCAGCACATCTGGAAAACACAACACTGGGCTTCGGGTGTAATGCTCACATTCACACTGTGACTCCAATTCATAATTTGTGTCTTTAACTGTTTCACTCCTTCCCTTTCTTGTCAAATAAAAACACAGTAGAATTTATATTTATTTTCTATCATCAATTGTGTTAATTCTTACTTAGATGTCAACATTTATTAACTCTTTCACTGATGATCAATTTAGCAGATGCATCCAGCTATTCTAGTACGATGGAGGGAGTTTGAGTAGGATACCATAACATTTTTCCATTTTGACCTCGATACATCATTGGTCTGATCTGAAGTTATAACCTATGTTTCTGTAGTATGTAGAAAAAAGCTGCGTTTATTAATCAACCTATCAATTACAATATCAATATAATCAATATAATCTTCTTAACGTATGCCAGTATTTTTATTTTGGCTCTAATCCACACACAGACATGTAACTAAAGATCATTACAACATGGCAGAAGTTGTTAAAAATACACAAGAGAGTATGGGGAGAAGAAAATCCCATATGAGAACAGTCATGGGAATGATTATATTTGAAATAGGTAAAAAATAAGAAAGTATTGGAGGGAAAATGATCAGAAAAAAGTAATAATGGCAAATGTGAAATAGAATCACTAGAGTGTATCTGTGTATATAAAATGTGCCATTCTACTGGATGGAGAAATATATAGAGAGATTGCCTGATAGTATGATTTTGTTTTATTAACACTCATTTGGGGTGGCCACATTACAAATGATAATGTTATGAATGAATTATGTATGCCATCTCAAGTGAATGCCAACAGAACTTTTATACCATATTATCATGTACTCTCTATGCAGTTTGCCACAATTTTACAGAAAAAAACGTGTTTCAAAAATATTATTGGTATTGTTTTTCATATCCCTGTGCCTATAACATCAGGCACCTCATTTATACATAGTCCAGCTGTCCAGGTCTCAAAGAGAAATATAACCAATAAATCTTAGAATCTTCTAAAAATTATCTAAAATAACATTCCTATACATAAGAATGCCATGACTGTAAGGTCTGCTATCTCAGGATAGGATTTTCCAGATCTAGGGGCAAGTACTGGAAACCTGGGAATCTTCCCTTTCCAGTGGTTTAAAAGCTCCCATGTCTAGCCCTGCAAGTTTATGAGCTATACCAGACCTTACAATTTTCTTTGGTGCAGGACTAAATGCTCCCATCTTGGTCCTTGGGCCAGCATAATTTGGTGGGGAAAATTCCCTAGTGGGTGGGGAGGAGGGGGAGAAGGAAACATCCCTTTGGCAGGTTTTGAAAAAAAATCACAGCTGTTTGAAGCTGCTCAGAGGTTTGGAATGTTAGAAGAAATACAGCGGGAGTTAGATTAATGGGCCAAAGTGCAGGTGAGGCACTCACAGGTGCATGGCAAATACAATTTATCAATGCATATATAGTATAATTCATACACATTACAATCACCAGCTAAATAAAACATGCAGCCTTAAAGAGCCAAGACCTTGGGTTTAAAAAACAAAACAAAAAAACACAACAGACGTCTGTCACATTAACTGAAGGAGTCTCTCCAAGAGAGATCATGTGATATAGATCTGTGGTTTGTTAGGACAGTTGCTACAAGGCAATATAATCACAAACACGTGAGAAGGTCTGATTCCATCCAGAGAGGACAATGATGCATATATATTGACCAGTATATTAGTTGACTGATGTTTATACATCATTTGGTGAAGATTTACAAAGGCATATTTGCCATTTCTAACTGCCATTTATGCCTTTGAAAATCTTCCACTTTATATAATGTATTTCTTCTATCTTGCATTAATGCCTTCAAATGGGGTCCGTTCTACAACTCCTTTCCTTCCAAGCATCGCAGCTGTTTAATATCCAAACCCCTGACTCTTGTGAAGCATTCACTATTTTTCTGTGGTTTGTGTGTTATTTCATTTTTCTGAATCACCTATACTTTATTTCTGTATTTCCTGTAAAATAAACCAAAAATGCCTCTCAGCAGAGAGGGGTGAATTTTTCTCTCTCTGCACAAGGTTCTGTTAATTTGTCTGAGTGTCTCTGAAATGGGAAAGTTCACAAGCAATCTGTTTCCCAAAATCTTGATGCTGCTTCTGAGAATCATATTTCTGCAGTTTTAATTTATTTTCAAGTTTCAGGCTTTTCTATGTGCTGTGATAGTCCTGCCTAATCATCCAGGGAAACTAGGGACACTACAGTGTACTCTATAGCCAAGAGGAAAAAACTAAACTTTTTGTCTAAACAACAGAGCTGCTTGACTATGCAGATTAGTGTGTGTACGTGTGTGTGTGTGCATGCATGCACATTTATCATCACTGCAGGTAGGAGAAAGCATTTTGTCTGACAAAGTTATAGCAGTGACTCAAGCCAAACATAGAA